TGAGACCCGTCGGAAAATTGTCAATGTTGTTGGAATCTTAGTGCTGAAGTAGCGAAAAAAGTGCCACTAAAATCGGGAAAATGCTACGAAAGCAATTGTAATGTTATTATCCGGAATTTTCACCGTAAAAGTTGTCGACGGGGGGGGGGGGGGGGGGTGAGAGTTTTAATATGTTGTTGTCCGGAAAATTTTTTCGGTTTGTCGGAAAAGTACTGCCCTTGGCCCCCCAAAAACATGGGACCCACGGCGCCAAAGCGGGATCATAAAAACAGCCTGGCAAAGCGGGATCATAAAAACAGCCCCTTATTCAGCAAATTGCGCATGCTGCCTTTGATCCCTTGGGGGTGAGGCAGCACTTTCCTTGCGATAGTAACTTCAAGTTTCATCCCTTGTCTCTTTTCCTATTTTGACTATTTTCCGAGTGGGAAAAACGGGTTGTCAGGTTTGAAAGGCGGTACTTAATTTTATTAGAGTGCTGAACATGATATCTCACGAGTGAGCGCAGCGAACGAGTGAGATATCATGTTCAACACGAGAAATAAATCTGGTATTTCCAAGCACCCATGTATTTTTCTGTTTATTATATAAACAAAATTCAGTGAAAAGCAATAAAACGTCCGTGGCAATGCGTTTTACAACAAATGATATTTTCACACGTAAAAATATCGTATTTTTTACGTGTGTTTAAATTCAGTGGCCAAAAACTCTATATAACACTTATCTTTATATAATAAATGTTGTTATTATATGTTCGACTATAGGAGTATTACTGTATTATTATATGACATATTAGTGTAATGTAGTGTTATATTCCGTTTTATACGTCGACTTTTGGTCGCGTCGAATGCAATTAATTAAGACAATAGATAATGAGATGATAAACCTCATTAAGCTTCATTATCTGTTGTTTGAATTGCATTCGACGCGACCGAAATTCGACGTATATAAAACAGACCTAAAATAAATAAACTGAAAAACATACAACACAGACACAGATCAACACTTGGGCTCGCTGTGGTACAATTTGATTATTTGAAAAAACTGAGATTGAATATTTAGTTGAAATGAAAAGTTGTCATCCGACTGAAATACTACCATGCCACGCCCCACCCCCACTCCCCCGCAAAAAACTTTTGAAAACCATGGAAATTTGGGCAAATGCTAGGAAAAATCCAGAATATATTCCGGCAGATTTGTCAGATGTAGTCAAAGGGGCCGAAACTACCGGATGGCCGAACCTACTTGATGTAAAGCATAGAATAAAGATCCATATAGAAGGGCCACTTACGTCGGAAGCTTTGAAGTTTCTGTCCTCGCGCATGTCGCATTACGCATGTTGGCCGCCATTTTCCTAGCCAGTCACGGACATTTTCTGGCCAATAAACACGCTGTAGTGGCTGGCTGCTCCGCCTTCTGGCCAGTAAACTGCGTATTTTTGCATAAAAAGACGAGAACACGTTGCACTGCTGAGTGGCCCTTCTGTTACTGCATGATCTTTATTCTGTGATGTAAAGCGCATTTGATCATATCCACGTGTAAATTTGCGCTATAGAAACGTTAATCATTGGGCATATCTTAATAAGACTCATAGGTGTAAGACTTTGTAGATCTGCTAAATTTTGCTCTCTGAAACAGTTGCCGTGAAAAAGCATTTTGAAAACTTTTTGAAAAAGGTAAGAAGTGGGATAAGACTCATAGGTGTAAGACTTTGTAGATCTGTCGAATTTTGCTCTCTGAAACAGTTGCCGTGAAAAATCGTTTTGAAAACGGAGGGGGGGGGGAATTATTTAAAAAATGGGGAATAGGACCCCTTTCCAAAATATGCTTGAAAAAGTTAATGGTGCCCTTAAAGGCAGTTTTCCACTTCCAAGGCGGAATTTTCCGCGCGGGGCGGAATTTCTCTTTGTCTTGTGATTTTTCTTTGTCTTGTGATTTCTCGGGTCAGCGAAACTAATTACTGAAAAGACAAAGAAAAATTCCGCTCCGCGCGCAAAATTCCGCCTAGTGGAAAACGGCCTTAAAGCCTGCAGTTTACCACGCGGCAGAATTTTGCGCGCGGAGCGGATTTTTTTTGTCTTTAATTATAATTAGTTCCACACAAGAAATCACAAGGTTCAGATTCCCCTCCGCACGCAAAATTCCGCACAGTGGAAAACCGCCTAAGTTATAATTGTGCATAATACGGGATTAATAGGCCGTATATTCCTGGCAATCTGAAGAAAATTTCCATTAGTTACTAATCTTTCAACTTTCCAGGGTCAAGCAATCCAGTAGCACTTGCGATCAGTGTAATTGTTCCAATTTTCTATTACGTCACTAATTAGGACGCAATTAGGCGAATAAAATGAACATACAACCAAAACTACGGAGACTACAGGATTTGGCATCTCTTGAATAGACAAGTGGATATATTTTATCCCCAAAAATGCAGTGTTATTTGGCATTCGTTGGTATAGTTTTGCTGGTATTAGCATTACCACAGGTGTACTGCAGTTATGAAAGTTTGTCATACATTATTCAACCACTGAATGCGACGGACACCTGGCTCAATGTTACGACCCATCCGTCTTTATTTAAGGACTGTCCTCTACCACCGTTCCCTATTGTTGATGAGGATTATTCAGAGGCACAGAAACAGGTATAAGCCTTGTTGCCTTGGCCCGTTACCTCCGCCACGAGGTTCATCCATATATCAAACATATTCATACAAAAATTTGTGGAACGAAAAGACATTTTGGTCAGTAAATTTGAAAAATGTGCCAAATATCACTCGTCTCGTTATTTATTTATACCTGACAAAATTATAGCTATCCTTCAACTCCCCCCACCCCTTCCGTGTTATTGTCACGTAAATGTAGAAAAAAGATGTATACTTAATTTTGACACATTTGACAGTTGCGTATATGGTTGTGCTTACTTGAAACATTAATATAATGTTCAAGCGAGCACAGCCATACGCGCCTTTTAGAGTAATTTCTGACAATAATTTTCAGTTCATACCTGGTTGTAAAATTGTGAATAATCTTTCTCCTTCTCTTTTTTATTTCACCATGGATGAAAGCTAGGGCTGAGAAAAGATAAACTTTCACGTTGTTTATTTAAATTTAATGTGTAAAATTTCTTCGCTAAATCGCGCGGACTCGCAATCTTTAACCAATCAGAATCGAGTAAATTGACTAAAATGATATTAGGATGAAAATGTATGTATCAGTGACAAGAGTACAGAGGCGTAGCCAGGATTTTCGGTCAGAGGTGGCCGGCAAAAACCCAGGTGGGGCCAAGCCGCCAGTGGCTCGAGACGCAAAGTTCGCGCAAGAAAAAATTTTGCGGACCACAGAACATTTTAAATCTCCCTCTCCCCCCCCCCCGTCGACATCTTTTTCAGTAAAAAATTTTTCTGGACAATAACATTACAATTGCTTTCGTGGCACTTTTCCCGATTTCCGTATCACTTTTTCCGATGCTTCACCACGATGATTCCGACTAACATTAGAGAGTTTGAGCAAGAGAACGAAGTCGGACGACGACGACGTGGACCGTGGTTGACAATTTTTGCCTGTCTTGCACATTAATTTACGCATTCTGAGTTTAGGGTCAGGCGTGAAAACAGATTAAAGATTTATGTCTAGCTGAATGCTGACCCAAATCCTTACCCTGATCAAGACAAAACAGCGAAACATGAATCCATATCTCGTCTTAATTCGTTCTTCTGCCTTCGTTCACAACGAAAAATTCGCAAACATTTTGGCAAATTTCGCTGTGAACTTCGTTCCGAACGAAGGCAGAAGGACAAAGACGGGATATAGTTTCATGTCTCGCTGTTTTTTTCTGGGTCAGGACAAGAATTAGTGAGTATTTATAAACAGCGACACATGGGAAGACACGTTGAGCAACCACCAGTGACGTCCAACTCAGTATGCGCAAGATAATGTGCAGACGACAAAAATTGGCAAGTACGCCTTCGTCTTCGTAATTCGTTGTCTTGCTCAACCTCTATATTGACAATTTTCCGACGGGTCTTAATTTTCCGACGGGTCTCTCCCCCCCCCCCTCCCTTTCGGCCACGGCAAACTGCCGAGCCCGCATTAAAAATTCACTTGTAAAAAAACCAGATTGGTTTAAACCTTCATCTAACCCTCATTTAATACACATTGAAATAATTAGGGTTAGAAAAGGTATGTGTTTCAAGCTGTGTGCCGCAAATAAGCGAACAAGATTTTAGGTTTCACACCGATGCCCAACAAAGCATATATTATACAGAATTTTTGTATTATTGGCAGCATGAAGTTATGCCAGGGGGGGGGCAAACTTTTGCCAGGGGGGCCGGGCCCCCCGGCCCCAGCCCTGGCTACGCCTCTGCAAGAGTAACATCAAAAACATTACATTCACGTGAGTACATAACATCAAAACACACACAAAAAATATCATGATCATAGAACACATTGGTGTCGAAGGTTCCGAAATACCACACACTCGAACTGGCTTGGCCTCGATATACACTCGGAGTAACATCAAAAACATTAACAGAAGTTTGTCTTTTTTTCACAGGCAATAATTTATGCATGCATGACACATAACTTAATTCGCTGGTGGAGATACGCAGTTTCCGAGTACACCCTAGTTTACATAAGAAAGCTGTGAATCGCAGTTTTCTGGCGTTATTGTCACTCCTACGCTGGCACAGACCGTTTGAGTTTTATAACTCTAGTTTATAGCCAGTTTTCCACTCCAGGGGGCGGTTGTAGGAAGGTCGGATAGCGCTATCCACCGGATAGTGATTTTTTCAACCTTTGTAAATGTTTGAAAAACTGTGAAACTACGGATATAGAGGACACAAGAAGTATAAAAAACATTTAATTTAGTAAATACTAAACTTTAATACGGGTTGTACCAATCAGCGACTGATTTAACAAAGCTTGAAAAAATCACTATCCGGTGGATAGCGCCATCCGGCCTTCGTACAACCGGCCCCAGGATTACAGGATGAAACCATCGGAAAAATTAAATAGAACTTCGACGTGTCGAACGAAGGCTCTTTCGAGCGACAAGAGTTGATGAAAGTTGCCAAGCGAGAGTTTCCATGAGAATTTTCACAACTTTCATGCCCCGGTTGAAAGAAAACAAGATTTGCATGAGAGTTGACTGGATATTACTGCACACATAGCGATAATAAACTCTCATCCGAATTCTCATCAAAATTTGAAGCAGCATTTGAAAGTTTATGAGAATCCATGAGAGTCGATGGGAAATGGCGGTCAAACACGAGCGAGAGTTGCAACTCTCATCCTCGTTTGACCGAGGGCCGAGGCTTTATGTTTCCAAGGGAAGTCTTCCTGTTCTGTGACTCTGGAAAATTTTCGTTAAAACTTCTCCACAATGCTTTCGAAACTCCCTGCTTTGAAACGCGTATAAAAATGGATTTAGACAACACGATGAAAATCCTAGAATCATTCCAAATTGATAATAGTCCGAACTCCATCTGACCTTCGGCACGTCGCCATATTGAAATAAGAGATATAGTCTAGGACCTGTATAGGAGTTTGTATGCGTTTCATTTACCACAGGTAATCTCAACTGTTTTAGGGTAAAATGACCATGGCGGTCAACATGGCATATGTGCCAAAACCTGAATCCGGGGCGAAAGTCCTGAAAATGACCCCGCCCTGAAACGGCAGTGCCGACATAGCTCTAACTTCCGAAAAGCAAAAGCGACAGCCTTTCTGAAGTGCTTATAGTGTTTAGAAGGGTTGCTTTTAGGGGTGGTCATTGGAAGGAAAAATTTGTCTAAGTATAATGTTTTACCAGAAAATGACTATGCACCACCCCAGGTAAATTGCTGATTATGCACAAAATAACTAATATGCCTGGCAGAAATTTAATGGTCTTATTTCCTAAAAAAAATAAACATGGGATGAAAAACTATGCTTAATATAATATAATTATTGTAGTTTTCATAAGGACTGTCCTTCTTTTCTGTAAATATAATACATTTTAATTCACTCACCCCCCACGAAAACACGATTTCAGCCATATTTTGTCGTCTTGCTTGCTTTTTATCGCCGAATCTCGCACACATCATCCAATTGTTGTACTTTCACATAATGATAGATGGCTAAAGTAGATTTCAACAAAATTTCATGACGTTTTGAAACAGTGCAGTGTATTTTATCTTCGATATCGTGTCCTTCGATATTTCGTCAAATTGCCGCCATTTTAATAGCTCGCCGCTTCTCTGCCCGATAAATGCCACTTCTTCGTCTTCCTGTGTGTTTATATTACAGTATCCAAGAGTAGTTGAACGTTGAATATTCCCAATCGAAAGAATGAAAAGATTAGTTGGGTTTTGATTGCAAAACCCTCTAGGTAACCATTTAGGTTCAAAATAAAATACAAAACATTTGAAAGTCACGCGCAATCTTCACGAAAACTTCTCGTGGACACATGACAGGGGGGGTTGAATATTTTCACGAAACGTTTGTTCGCCACCAC